TAGGTTAACAAATTATGAGTTAAAAGCCAACAAACATTGGCGAATAAAGGGAAACAACCGGTACCCGCCGCTTGTTATCTCTATTACTCAGTTCCTTGGCGACTAGGTAATACTCATGTTTACTTGGTCAGACACTTTCCTACTTGGTTAAATTTACAAATGACAGGACCGCCTGCCTAAAAAGGATCCAGACCTTAAAATAGTTCGAATACCGATTGGATAAATGGCCGACTGATCGTCTATCCTGGAAACAGACAACCAGTCGTCCAGGGGCATAGGCGGCGTGACTAACTATCCGTACCTGTCTGCAACTATCGGTTATGTAAAACAGTCGGTCTAGTGAACAATTGGATATTAGAATATGGAATACTTAGACAAATTTGAGGCAAAACAAAAATTCATTAAAAAGAAGCCGGTCATTAAAGACCGGCAAAATATTCAAAGCCCCGGCCCCCTGGCCGGGTAAATACAAAACAAACGGCACGCAGGCCGTGGAAAGAATACATAAAGCTTAAGAAGGGGGCAGATCTTCAATATTAGCAGCTGCCGCCTGGTCAGCACTCTTCTTGCTGGACTCGGCTTCAACTGCATCCTTTTTTGATGCATTACCCCAAGCGGCACAAGCGCCACTACCGGCTCCTCCTCCTCCAACGCTTCCTCCAACGCCTCTTCCTCAGCAGCCGCCAGGATCTCTTGATTATATGTATCAGAACACTGGCGGTACATTTTTTCCCAAGAGGCAAAGTCGGCATTGGGGAAGAGGCGGCCCCAAGTCATGCGCTGGATTTGAGCGGAGTCTTCCATCATCTCCCGGACCAGCTCTTTCTTCTCTTGCTCGGCCTTTTCCGAGAGCTCCTGAGTAAGACTCTTCTCCTGGGTCACCAGGCGTTCCTTTACGTTGGCCAAGGATTTCTCCAAGGCTTCGTATGAGTACATTTTTAGGCGAAGAGGTTTCAGCTCGGCCTTGAGATTGGTGATGGTCGCCTCCAGCTCGCCATTCCTCTTCTGGGCCGCCTCTAACTAAGCCCGAACAGCGGCGGTAGCCTGCGCCTGATAATAAAGAATATCAATGGTCAGAACTTCATTTTGGGCAATTTGAAACATTGCCTTATCACAGTCAGAGGCAGCCATAGCTTTTGCAGCCTTTACCTCTTTGTTCTTCCGGTCAAGCGGCTTGCGAAGGCCGTTCACTCGGAGCAGGGCCTAAGTACAAAGGAACAGGCGTCAGTTTCCAAACAAAAAGAAAACAGGCGTCCAGAAATTCAAATACTCAAAAATATGCTAAGTATACCTCAGCAAGGACCCCTGCAATCCCGTCTAGGTCAAGGGTGCCAACACCCCTGACCGCCTCCCTTTCAGCTGGAGGAACTGCCCCGATCATAGACTTGGCCATCTCTACCAAGTTAGGCTCCTGAGGGCCGGCTGCATCAAGCATAAACAAACGGATTAGACCTAGTAAAAAAGGGAGCAAGTCTAAAATTTACAAGGACAACTTCATACTTCTAGGCGGCCGAGTTGGAGTTTTAGAAGAAGTGGCCGGCTGTTTCTCAGCCGCCACCTGTTTCCTGGCAGAACCAGGAGAGCTCGCAACAGTCGTCCTCCGGGCCTTGGGGTCTGGCTGTTGGGAAGATGAAGCTCTTGGAGCACCCGTCTAAAAAAAAAAAAAAAAAAAAAAAAAGTCAGTATATGCATAAACTCAACTCCAAAAAGAGGGTGAAAGGTTCGGAGCTCACCAAGGGTGCCCCCTTCTTGGGGGAGTCGGTTGAAGCTTGTTGCATGATGGAGGCCCGCAACATGGCCGCCGCAGTCTTGGAGGCGGTGATTTTGCTCATGGCGTCAGCTGCAAAAACAAAGCAAAGTTAATAAAAGTCATAACAAGAAATGTATGGAACAACAGAGTATTCGACAGGCCGACTACCTCTTGAGCACCGACTGCTGAGGCCACAGGCGGCCAAAAAGTACTCGTCGTAGAGCCATTTGAAGCTCGGGACGCAGTGCAGGGGTACTTGCTCTCGTACCCCTGAAGTAGAGTCGACCCTCGACTCTACTTTAAAGAGTCCTTTATCAAGGATCTCTTTCTTAGCCTTGGGGGGAACAGGCGGCATGCTACGGCCGCCTGCAAGAAGGGGCGGATTCATGTTCCACCTATTGAAGCGCTTGTTCAGCTCAGTGTCTGAACTCTCAATGATGAGGAAGGTTCTCCGCCAGTCCTTCCACTTGTTTGCTTTACCTCTCGTCATGAGGTAGCCCCTGTGGCTTGTCAATTGATACCAGCCGGTACCGCCTGCCTTAGGGGTCCGGCTGAGATAGTTCATATGGGCGAAAGCCTCAAAGCTCGGCTCCACCCCGTGCAGTTCGCACCCGGCCACATAGCCGAGTACGTTGACCCAGGAGTTTGGGGCTAACTGCCATAACCCCAACTCATACCCATCCAAGATCCGCTGAACAGCCGGATGTAATGGGAAGCGCAGCTCTGCCTTGATGGCCGCCTCGTAGCAGCCAAAGCAGGCGCTATCATAACTGGTACCAGCCGGCCAGACGACTGTGTCTTCTGGATCCGGCACAAACACTAGAAAGTCGGGGCCCATGGTGTGGTTTGCAATAAAGCTCTCCACTTTCTCTTGCATGGATGTGATCCGGCCCCGAGGTACCGTGCAGTAATAGGGGGTATTTAGCTCTCGGTAAGAGGCGGATGGCTCCGCCCAATTGTCCCCCTTCTCAACTGCGTGAGAAAGTCTCGCCTCTTGCAGGCGGCTGTTTTTCTCTTCTATGTCCAAAGAAGCATGGCCAGAAGAGCTTGACTCGGAATCGTCCTCTGACGAGTCCGAAGAGGACGACTCCTCCCCTCTCCCGGAGGGGCCCGCCTCCTCTCTTTGAAAAGGAGCAGAATTGTTAACTGTTAAATGGGAAGGGGTCACTATGACTCCTCCCTCAGAATTGTCGGCTTTCAGGCCGCCTTGTTTCATTTCCACATCTGGCGCCTGGTCAGATGTTTCACTAAGCGACACCCTGTGGGAGGAGCCGTCTGAATTTGAGATCCTAGCAGTCTTTTTCGTTCTGGCCATCCTGCTCTGCATAGACACAGATACAGTCGGACTTTGTATAAAGGGCAAAGATGGGTTCGGAAAAGGGCAGGCGGCACTCCTAGTCCTAGATTCAGCCGTCCCCGGTGACCGGCTGATCACTAACCTAGGTCGTGTCGTGTGCTTCCGTGGTGCCATTTCAAAAAATAAAAAGAAAATTAAGAGTAAGAGAACCGACAGTTACCTGAACGAGTGATGATTGATGAAGTGCTGAAAATCCTGTGCAGTCGGCTTGTCAGAACAGGCGGTAGGCAGAAAAGGTCCAAAATGTCAGAGCAAGTTCAGGGGTCCGAATGTTCTCTCTCAAAGTTCTCAAGTGTGAAAATGACTCAAGACAATCCTCCCTTATATAGGCGAAGTGAGAAGGCAAAGGGTCACTTTCAGAATTCAAAATTTGGGCGGGAAAATCTCTCGGCCTTTCGCCGACTGACACCTGTAGAAGGTCGTCGCCTGTTACAGTGCGACACCTGTCACAGGTAACACGTGACCAGTCACGTGCCACCTGTGAGGGGCAAATGATTAGGGGATTTTGCTCCCACCAATCGTAATGCGCCACGTGGGCCAATCAGGTCCTGCCAAGTGTCCCCCAGTTGGAACTGTCAGGGCTTGCCATGTGGCACGCGCTTATTCGTCCACCTTGGACCTATTATGTCATGACATGTGGCATACTCCATGCCTAATGGAGAAACCGGCCACCCAGGCCCAACTTCCGAGGGAAGCCCAATCAGCCCTAGGTTAACCTAAACCTAGGATGGGCACGTTTCCCAAGGTTATAAATACCTCCCTTAATCCTCATTAAGGGGGATTACGAAAAAACACATTAATTACACACAGTAATAACCGGCTGATCTCGCTAACAAAGCAGATTACCTACATTAAACACTCTCACCTAGAGAGACCCAATCACTTTAATTTCCGCATTAATTACTCCTTAATCAAGTACTAACTTGACCGTTGGAGGCGGAGCTCCCACCACCAGGAGTCTCCGTTATTTTGCAGGTACAGGCGTCCGGTTCCAGTCTCGGAATTGTAACTCTCCCGCAGGACATCAGAAAACCCCGAAACAACAATTGTTTAAGAAATTCTCAAGACATTGGAATTCAAAACCATCAATCAACACCTTCAAATTCATCAAATCCTGAGACTTCTCCAATCCGACCAGCTCACCCTAATAATACAATAAATTTTAATCAACACAATGACATTCCTTACAACTAGAGGTGGGCATGGGTCGTGCGGGCCCGCGGGCGGCACGAAGGTGACACGGCCCGGCACGAGCCCGCCTGACACGGCACGGTGACCGAGGAGTAGGCCGTGGCTGTGCCATGAACACAATTTTGAAAAATTGGCACGAGTACGGCACGGGCACGGTTGGCGGCACGGTAATTTGGCCCGCCGGCACGACCCTCCAGCACTGCACGCGACACGCCAGGCACGGCACGGCACGACCCGTGCAAAACGACTATATTTCGCTGCTTTCAACAGGCATAAAACGGCTATAATAATAAATTAATAATAAAATTAACATAAATAATAATAAAGAGTAAAAGAATTATAATAATAAAAATAAGAATAGTAAAAAGAACAATAATAATATAATAATACAAAAATATAAATATAAATTAATAAAATTATTTAAATATACTCATTTTAAAAGTTGCTAAAAAAAATATATATCGATTTTTTTAAAAAAAAAAAAAAAATTAAAAATTCTGGGCGGCCCGCTACCCGGCCTGGCATAGCACGCCACGCACGTGGGATGTGCCGTGGGCTTGGGTGTGCAAAATGGTGGCCCGACACAGCACGACCCGCCAAGTTGCAGGCACGGCACAACCCGGCACGAGCCACCACCAGGCACGGCCCGCGGTGGCTTGGTACGGCATGCTGCCCACCTCTACTTACAACCCAAGCTTTTAAATGAATTATCATTTTAACTGTTACGGTTCTCTAAGGCCGGGTATTCATCCAACTCATCCAATTTATACTTCTTGTCCGTTACATTTAAGTGAGTCTTTTATTACTTATGAAAATTTAAGAAGGGATAACATAGGGGGGTTGAGCACACAAGAAGAGTCTCTTACTTCTAGGTTGGGTGCTGAATCTCAATCTTCTCAAAATGAAGTAGACTCGAAAGAGACCAATAATCAATCCAAGTACAAAATTGGTAAGTTGAAGTGGACCCAAGTAAAAGATGTTGATTTATGCAGAAGTTGGATAGCAATTTCGAAAGATTCGGTGAAGGGAAACGATCATAATATTGGTAAATACTATAACAATTGGAGAAGAGAAGATCTAGAGATACCCATTGAAAAAGCTGCTAAACATTGGTTCAAAATGAGTGGTGATGTTAATAAGTTTAATGGGTGCTACATACAAATAAAGGACAGTCACCCGTGTGGTCATAACGAAGAAGAAATTACAAACAAGGCCATGGGACTATTCTCAAATGTTAAGGAAAATAGAAAATTTCCTTATTTACATGTTTGGCAAATCCTTCGGAATGATCCAAAGTGGCAAGAATTTGCTCGAAAACAAGGTAGTCCGTCCATGAAATCTAAAGTTGTTAGATCATGTGCTAGTATATCTTCCTTCACTCACCATGATAAAAACAACCACTGAAGATGTAGAAGTGCTCGATGGACGCTGAATTGGTCAAAAGGCTGCTAAAGAAGAAGCAAGAAGGAAGAAAAATAAGAAAAAGGTAAATGAAAATATTGACCATAATTGGACAAAATTTGAAGATCTACTGAAGAAGAGACTATCACTAATTGAAAATCACATTCGTTAAAGTGATTTTAAGATACTGTGTAGATATACTTCGAATATGGATGAAAGAACAAGGAAAAATCAAGAACAAGTATGGAAAGTCTTAATAATAACTAACAAAGTAGTTTATATATTTTTAGTGTGGGTTAATAATCTCATTTAGAAAATTTAAATTTATTGATATTTTAGAGAATAATTATAGAGATTTGTCTATGTAGTCAGAGGCGGATGTAGTGTGCAACGAGGGTATTCAAGTGCATATCCCTCGCAAAAAAAAAAATTAACGCATCTTATAAAAAAAAAGTTTAACAACTCATTATGTGAAATTTGGTAAAAGGAATTTGAAACAAATTAAATATTAAGTACGATAAATGCTTTTGGACTTTTTCCCTAAGAACACAATACCCTAGGTTAGGCTAGGTTTTAGTTTTTTAAAACCTATCAAATTCCTTTTACTTCCTAATAATAAAAAACAACCATTGATTTTAATAGTAATTGAATTATTCTTGGACAATACGGAGTAGTTACATTATGAGCTAGACGATCAGTTGCAGCTGAATTTTATACTTCGTATCATTCAAGTGCGAGTATGATTCGTACGAAGTATTTTTTATTTTATTTTTTTATTGCTTGAATTGTATAATTTGGGATTTGGAAATTTGTTAATTAGTAGGAGCAATTGTTAATTATTTATCTGCTTTCGATGTATGGCCTATCATTACAGACTATTTCTCACCAAAATTCAATTGAAATTTTAAAAATTATAATGTCGACACAAAAACTTATATGCGAAATTAACGTGTTATTTTATGAAAGCACTAATTGAATACCAATTTAAGTTCCTTATAAATCTATTAGAGTGAAAATTTATATTAGATTATCTTTTTACAAAAAAAAACTTAATATTGAAAATTTACAGTTGCTATAATGAATGAGAATAATCAATTAATGAAGAAAAAAGTGAGGATTAGTACTTTGGAGTCGTACTTTCAGAAGAAAACAAGGACTCAAGAAGGTTCTACTTCATCCCCGATTGCACCACAAGTACATACGGAGGATGAGTCTCCTCCTCAAAATACAGTCCCTCCAACTCGGGAAAGAGTAAACTTAATTTGATGTTAATTCTCTTCCACATGATCCGAGAAGAAGGAGAAGGATTCTTGACTATCATCAATCAGACCAAGAAACTGTTAGGAGAGAGTATATTCTTAAAGGGCCTTTCCAACCATATGAGCACAATTTTCCTCAAACATCTATTGGAGGTAAAATGCGTCGCTTTAATTTTGAATTGTTTGATACACACAAAAAAGGGCTTGAATATAGTATTACAAAAGATGTTACTTTTTGTTTTGTTTGTTACTTATTCAAACATGATGTTGATGTGCTCAATGCTGCTAGCCAAGGTCATAATGCTTTCACTAACAATGGGTTTAGGAGTTGGAATAGACCAGGTGCTCTAGTTAAGCATGTTGGTCAAGTTAGTAGTGTCCACAATAAATGGCTAGAGAAGTTTGAGGCTAAAACTAATCCAAAAACTTGCATTCAAAATGTACTTAACCCACTTACTTCCCAAGCCATGAAGGAATATGGAATTTGTTTAATGACTTCACTTTATTGTTTGAAGTTTCTTTTACTTCAAGGTCTGGCAATTCAGGGTCATGATGAGAGTGAAAAACCTAATAATTAAGGAAATTTTCGTGAACTTTTAAAGTGGTTTGCTCAAAGAAAAGAAAAGGTATGAAATGTTGTTTTCAAAAATGCTCCAGGAAATAGTCAAGTTTGATTCAGAAAGATCTCATCAATGCTTGCTCAAGAGAAACAATCAAGTTTATTATTGACGAATTAGGGGATGACAACTTTAGTATATTGGCCAATGAATCAAGAGATGGGTTTTTTAAAGAACAAATGGAATTTTGTTTGCGTTATGTTACTAACAGGGGAGTAGTGGTAGAACGATTTCTTGGTGTTGTGCGTGTTATGGACACTACTGCTATGACTCTTAAGAATGCCCTTTATTCTATACTTGCTGAGTACTCAAGTCCCTCTAGAATTTGTAGGCAAGGCTATGATGGGGCTAGCAATATAAAGCTAAGGGTGACATAAATGGGCTTAAAACTTTAATAAAGAATGAAAATCAATGGGCATACTACATTCATTGTTTTGCACATCAACTACAATTGCACTTGTTCTTTCCGTAAAAAAATGTTGATTGCGGTTGGCTTTTTGATATTCTTTCTATTATAATGAATGTGATTAGTGGTTTGTGTAAGAGACAAGAAATTTTAAAGGAGTCTCACGCTAAAAAATTGGCCAAAGCATTTGATAATGATGAGCTAAATACAGGGGAAGGATTGATTCAAGAGTTGGGTTTGGGGAGACCTGGTGATACTCGTTGGGTTCCCACTTATTTCGAGGCTTTTTGGAGTCCCTCGGAATACAAGTTGTGAATATGTCCAGACGACTGCAGACACCTGCAAAATAACGAATATTCCGATTGACGGAATACTTGCCTCCAACGGTCAAGTTAGTAACCGAAAAACGAAAATATTTAGATAGAGAAAGTAAAGAGAAGTTAGAGCACTTTGTATGCCTTTTCTATGCTATGTATCAATCCACCCCTCCCATCATTAATGATTAAGGTATTTATAGGGGTGAAAAGGTGTGCATTCTAAGGTAGGTGCCCTAAAAAGGAGTGCACTGATTGGCGGCGCAATCAGGTAAGTATACGTGCCCGTTGGGGGCGCCGTTTTGGCGCTTCTCTCGAGAATTAGGCCTCCTAATGTAATGGAGGTCTTTTCTCATTCAGGTGCTCTTATGTTTTTTCAACGTGTTATCTTCTTATTGGGACACGTGTCGCCTCTTCATTGAGCCACGTGTCACCATAGGATTGGACCACGTGGTGGGGGTTTTTTACCCTAAACATTTGCCCCTCATAGGGGGTGGCTCGTACCATATGTTCCGCCTCCTCTGAATTTCATGCGTACACTAATGTCCGAGTGCTCAAATGCTTTTGGCAGTCAGGTGGAAGGGGCTGACTTTATTGTCTGTCTGAATTCAGGAAGCACCCCTTTTGGGGCAGTTGTCAATGATTGTTTAACTGATTTCTATTTTGGCTTGAGCCTTGAAATCCGATGGACAGAGGGTGCTGCTTGATATCAGGTAAGACACCTGTGCTCCGTATTCTTCGACCCAATGGTTTAAGTTCGTGACCTGCCCGTTTCTTTTAACGTGTCGTTATGTTAACCGTACGCCTTTGGTCTTTATTGACGGAACGGTTTAATAACTGTTTGGGCTTCTTAGGTTAATTTTTGAAAAAAGAGACGCTTAGTCTCTTGCGCGGGAAAGGTAATCTTACCATTTTGCCCCCCATAAATTTTTCCTATAAATAGGACTTGTTTGACTTCACAAAATCACATTAGATATTGTGTTTTCTAGAGAGAAGTTAGAGATTTTAGAGAGAGAAAGTGGTTTTCCCCCTTAATCTTCGAGAGCTCCGCCGCGTAGTTTGAAGATTTTGTACGATAGTTTGAGTTTTCTGGTCAAGTTCTTGGTGTTGAAAATTTGACCTTTCAAGACCTTCAAACTTCAAATTTTTCTCCATTTTTTCACTCGTACAAAGGTAACCGCCTGTTTTTTCTTTTACTTCTTTCCTTTTTCCTTTCATATACTTGTTTTATTTTTAAAACACGAACTAGCACAACATTCGGATTCGTCCGTCTCTCCTCACGAGGTCAGTCGTTCGTCTGGGACTGAGGAGTCTACAATGGACGGGGCCGACTCCTCTTATTTGTGGAGTGGGTCCATTTCTAGAGCATACCAACTCACCCCCCTATTCTTCTCTGTCCCTGCAGTCGAATATGGCACGTAAACGAGCTACGTATGACCGTTATGCGGCAAGGAATCCGGACGACACCCCCGTCAACCCCTTAGTGCCCATCAACCCAAATAACACGGACGTGGATGACACGGACGTGGACTTCAACGGGAATGCCTGCTCGGTCATGGAGGTAATTGCCTCCTTGTCCGGGAAAAATGTACAACAAAATCCCTCCTCTCGGTCTTCCACTAGAGAGACTAGGGAAAGAGAAATGAGGGCGTCCAACTAAAATCTGGAACAACACCCTCCACGACACCATCTAAGCTACAATCTTCTCGTTTCACGATTCGGGCGAACGCTAGGTCTAGTAGGGGAAGGTCGTCCAACCAGAATCCAAGACAACACTCAACCCAACACATCAGCTCGACTAGGCCGTCCGGGCTGCGTATCTCTAACAGGCCTTCTTTTTATAATCGGGCGGACGCTGCTGTTGATGTGACCACCAAAAATACTGACGGAGGGTCCTCCCTTCATACCAATTCAACAGCTGCGGTCGAGCTGATTTTTCGTGATGGTCCTCCTTCGGGAGTTCAGGCGGACCTAGAGACGAGAAGAAAACAGGGGAAGGGACCCTTGGTGCCAAAGGGCACCGTACTTTCTAAGCTTGGCCAAGGGTAAAAAAAAGGTAGCTCGGCCGAGGCTGGTGAGCTCGACACTATTCTTTCCTCCGAATTTGGCTTGGATAGGAACCTCGAGCCACAAGATGTAAAGGAGGTGGCGGATGTTGTGGTGCAGGCGCCCAAGGGGGCCAAGGTTCATATTAAGGCGGTCGATTTTAACGACCTGTTTTATTGCCCGATCGGTGACATCACCCTCGGCTTCCTACATTCAAACTTTGAGGAATTCAAAAAAATTCCTCATGGTGGGAAGGGTTTTCCATATCCAACCTCCTAAAAGGTCCAACTTAGTGGCTGCCTGGGAAGGCGAAAGGCCCCGAAGCCGAAGCTTCAACGTCTATCATGCCGCTCTGGAGGTG